TCTCATCTCCTCCTTCCATCAATTCTTCATTACATTCCATCATCTTTCCCTTTAATCCATCCATAACCTCTTCTTCCATGGAGATTCGACCGTTGCTGCTGGTTGGAGCAATGCTTGGAGCTATGGAGGGCTAGAGGTTCTTCAACTCTTGAAGATGGTTGATTGGCATGATTTCCAAGAGCTTCAAAGGGGAGTTAGCTTCATCCATAGTTCTAGTTGTTTATTTATGAATTTCTAGGTCTTAGGATGTGTAAATTATGGCTAAACTGTTTTGATTACGGTTGTAATCAATTCTGGATGATTATATTGTGTATTGGATTAGTTAATGTTGTATTTGAGCTTCAATATATGTGGTTATATATATGTTTCTATGCAACTCTTTTGATACTCTCTTTCTTGTATGGTATTGTTTGATTGTTGAGTTAATCTGAGCTTGCATTAAACCAAGTGCATTAATTAATCTTAATACACACACTAAGTGAGCTTAATATAGGATCTTATAAGATGGGTGGCTATTGATTAAGATCCTAGACTTAAAAAATTCTTTAAGGTTTTTCCTTTAGAAAACTTGGTGATTTTTACTCCCAAAATCATTTTGAACTATAATTGCCAAAGGTCCATTTTCAAGAGGTTTTATTAATTGTTTCAACACTTGTTTCCCATCCATTCCATCCTAATTTCTCAAAAATCCAAAAATATATTTACATTGCATTTTATCTCAGTTGATGGTTTTAATGAAAACTCCCAACTTTTCCCTAGTCAATTTGCATTTTCATGGCATTTAGTTAACTTATGATCAATAATTTAGGTTCCAACAAGTGAAACGACCCGAGGTTGTGCCTATAGTACAATCCTTGGTTTTAATTTTGAATTTGACCCCAAGGTGTAAGCAAGACAGGTCATATTTCAGTTACCCTAGAATAATTATGCCCTTTTCTTAATTTAGATTATGCATAACATCTTGTGATCTGGGTTGACAATCAGAGCTTTGTCAATAAGGGAGTCGGAAGAGCCTTAAATGACTCATTATATGCTCTCTTTGGTGTCCAGTAACTATTATATAAATTTGCCTCTACTCGGTGACTGTTAAGTCTGGAACCTGAGAAAATTCTTTCAATATATCCTCAGCACTAGCATGTTAGCATTGGAGACAACACCAGCAGCATAATTTCTCTACCCCGAGTGATTTTGCTTTCAAGTACGAACTTCTGTGCCATCAATTCAATCACAAGTGGAAATCGTTAATTCCTTTTAAGAATGAAATCAAAATACAAGAATCTCAGCTAAATCGCCCAAAGAATCTCCAGCATATCAATTACGTAGATCATACAAAGATACAATAGAGTGCTTTTCTCTGTTCCTACCTATGCCATACCCAAGTACCTTACATGTATATATTCCTCTATATATATTATACAGATCGTACCTTATATAGTCAGTAATGAACTGCATCTATGAATCATTTTGTTTGCCTTCCTCTAGAGGCATTGTTTCCACATTTATTGATTTTGATGAGGTAGTTCTCACTTATTCCTTTATTACAATAATAGAAACTAGATATTTCCTCGTCTGCTAAATAGAGGAGCAGAGCAATCCACAATGTACATCGTAGTTTTTTTAACCAACCACGTTTTGAACACATGTTAGAGATTAAGAACCATGGTTTTGAAGCGCAAATTACATTTTGTTGAAAGCGGTTGCCAACGAACTTGAAAACCAAACAACACAATTTTTATTTTCAAATCATGTTAGAGTCCAAAATCTTGGTCAGCAAAGAAGTAACCTGTGACATGCTTTTAGCTAATCTCAGTTTTGGCCAACTTCAATGTCAAAATTCAATATTAGCTAACTTCAATCTGCCTAAAAGTAATTTGCAGAGCCAATTCTATCCAAGCTTTAATATTGACTGATGTCAAACCAAACACACTAGTTAAATTATTGTCGACGCAAGAGGCTCCAAGATAACACACAAAGGCTCACAAAGGTAATTGCCAATCAATTATGAGAGTGGCATAGAATTATATTCATTATTGCAACTTTGAAATTCACCTTCAAGATGAAATGAAACATATTAGATTACATTTCATCACATGTTCCTCGGCCTTCTGTCATGAACTAGTTCCATTAATCATCTAATTTGTCATCCTCTTCAAAGCAAGGTGATGATGGTTCAGAAATTTAGAAAGTTATTCATAAAAAAGTTATTATTGTTTAAAACATTGCTCATTTTTTAATGTAAAAGCTACAAAAGCTGGTTTGACCCAATTAAAATAACCAAAGTTAATATTCTCCTCCCATAGGCTTGAAAATTGACTGTTCATAAATAAAAAAAAAAGACCACCACTCTTCATATTATTATTCAATATTATTATGTCATTGACAAGGCATGTTATGGGAGCTATCAAATAAGCTAGACTAACTATACACTATAGCAATGCTACCTAGGTCGATCTCTATTGAGTAGCTAATTACTAAACCTCTAGCTAACTAAGTATTAATTACAAGTTAACCAAATGGGATTCAATGAGGTGAATTAACCATTTTAAACTAGCATAAGCTAGTATACTTTTTATGATTTTCCAATTTTATGAATGAAATGGATCATGGAATGGGTGATACGAGACTTCCTTGATGAATGACTTACTTAACATTCCTAGTTCTAAATATGTCAAGTTCAATTACCTAACTAAGCTAGGGCTAGTGAAGACACCTTCCCTAGCCAACACCAATAACTCCCAAAATTCACCTAGACACCTAAATTCTTCCTTTAGTTCATTAGAGATGCTTTAAAGTGCTTAGCTCATATTAGACTCGCAGAAGGATCTCTATACTAATAACCAGACCTAGACACCTAGCAATTTAATCAAGAGCTTTAGAACATGGAGACTTGATCAAAATAGCGAAGAAAGTGCTACAAATCAATCAACAATCCACTGAATGCAACATCTAATATAAGTAGCAATCTCCAAACTACACATGCCACTGATAATCCTCAGCTATACACGTTAAATACAAATTCCACAGATACCTAGAAACTATAATCAATATGCATAGAGATTGAAAACTGAAACTAGGAACAATTAAAGTCCCCTATTGTCTTGAGGAACTCAGCTTGGCTTCATCATCATTAAGGAATGGAAGGCCTTACTGCTCATGGACGAAGACAACACCTCACCGAGGTTTACAGGACTCTCGGCCATGGTACTCAGCAAAGGAAGAGGGAATTGCGATTGAAGGAGGAGCAGAGATGGTGGGATTGAGAGGACGGTGGATATGGAGAGGATGATGAAGGGAAGTGCGGGATAGGAACGAGAGGAATGGGCAAACGAAGATGAGAGGGAGATGAATATGAAAATGTGCGATCTCGAGCTAGTCGTTTTGTCGGATTGGTCTTTTTGGTTCAAGAGGCGGCCGTCACAGCAAAAATGAGGCCTCTTAGCCAAGCGAAGAAACAATCCGAGCATGGACAATCACCTGCACCCACAATCAAACCATGCATTACATGTCCATAGAAAATCACAGAGAGACGACATAAAAAGATTATTATAATTTTTAGTCCCTCAAATTTGTCCTTTTTTTGGTTTTAGCCTCTCAATAGGTAAAATGATCCAAATTTTTATTGAGTTATATGGACTAGTATTTTAAATGAAAAGAAACTTAAAGGACTAAAACTTATAGTTTGAAACTTAAGATACCCAAACTAAAATAAAAGCAAACATGAGAGACCAAAACTTGCATTAACCTAGCCTAAGATTGTATATGTAAATGTATAAAAAGAATGAGGCCTGTCAGTCATACTTGAGAATTGGTGGATCTAATCATAAAAAGCTCTATCCCACTATCCACTACATTTAATTTCCACATGCGTTAGCTTGGCTCAAAAGTCTAAAAATAAGAAACATATTGATATTGGCATTTTCCTCTGGTCAAGAACCAATATCATATTGATATCATACTAAAGTACTGTTCTCATGGTAATTATGATAAATTATTTCTAATTATTTTATCAGAAATAAAAAACGATATAGTTCGAATGGAAATATTAAAAGTTCTAAATAAAAATAATTAATTTTTAAAAGTTAATAAATACTTCACTTTTTAGTGCAAGATTGTTAATATATGGAAATTCATTAATTTATTTGAGAGTATGAATATATAATATATAAAACCATTGACAATATATTAGAGGCTTTTGCGTGGAATACCGAGGTTTGAACCTAAAGGTGGGTTTGGGAGCGTTATGGGACCATCTTTCGTGAATGCGGTTTGGAAATGCCATGGGCTCCCAAGGCCTGCCATCGTCATCGGGTTACGATCAACAACCTGCACAATGTGTTGCAACCCTCAATCATCACAGTAAGAACGCATCTATCTGCTAGCCTAAAAAAAAGAACCCATCTATCCATTTTCTCTCTCACATAAAAATACCCGCTAGTTAATACTTCATTTTCTTTTGTGAGTGGAAAAAAGCAAAATTTTCACTTTGGTAAAAAGATCACTACTACTATAGTTACCATATCTCATTCCGTTTAATGTCAGGAAGGAATAATTGTAACAGTGTACTACCTCTAATGCATAATATAAAAAATTGGTTAACTTCTTTTCACACATTAAGAAATAGAAGTGTAGTCACTAAATGTGTCCTAAAATGATAAAGTTTGCCTATTTTACCCCAAAAAAATGATAAAGTTGCCTTTAATATTATATTTTTATTATCTAAAATATCTCTTCTATATTTAATAGGGATAAAAGTGAAAAAATCATATTAATTATCCTGCTAACGTCTTATATTTTGGATCACAATTTTCTTTTAACCAATATCTTATATTAAGGAACCGGAGGGAATATTTGACTAATTGCACATGTTACCTTAATACTAATAAATTAGTTAAAATGGTGCTATATTTAGGACTTAAAAGGGTGTGTATAATGTGGGTTAAGTTTTTACAAGATACAGGGATGGAGGAGGTGGCTTGAATTAAAAATGAAAAAAAATGAGTTTAATGGAGGTGACTTACTCGGTCCATTTGTTGTTCCAATATTGGAAGGAGGCTTTGACTCTTAGAGCTGCCGTTGTTTTCAACATCAACTTTGCGGATGACACGCCATCCACACTTCATCGAAACTTTTGCATCGTAACAGGAATACCCCAATGCGAAGGGAATATGAGTGTAATTCCTTAATTGCACGATATCACAGAAATCCTCTGGGAGCTTCCAAAATATGACCCAGAGGTGACAAGACTTTCTTTTCTTCTCACCCTTAATTTTAGACATAAAACAGTGTTTGACATCAAGGGGTCCAAGAAAATCAGGATTCTGCCGCCACCAAAAAAACCTCATCACCTCTTCACTGGAATAGAAGTCACTTTCTACAAGAGTGCATAATCCAATTCCCCACATTTCTTCCCAAGGAGGTATGTCTATCATGACTAGAGCTTCGCCGTTATGATTCAGATAAAGATCGGTTTGATTCTCAAACCATGGCGATATTTCCCTTCCAGGAATAATCAGCGAGAAATGATCATGTCGCCCAAGTAGTCGCGCCTAAATCAATAAATAAAACGTATCAAATTATATAGTATGATTAAAGACAAAATAAATACATATAATTATATGATGATATATGACTATATGTATATACCTGGTCCGTTGAAGCAAAGAGATGTAATAATTGTTCACCTTCCATTGTTTCTAATGAATCACATTCTTCGGCACTTATCTCACCTAATCTTGGCGGAATCTGCGGCAACGACTGAAGTTTTGAGCAAGAATTTATCCTTAGAATTTCCAAATTCAAAAGATTAGATATGCAACCAACAGGTAGATTCTTAAACTTGTTTCCACTTAGATCTAACCTCCACAACGATGATAAGCCACCAAAGCCATCCAAAATGGATCCATCATCAATACCGCAATAGCTTAAATCCAATTTTGTCAGTGATTTAAGATTGAACATTGAAGCAGCCAATTTTAAGCCCTTATGAATTGAATGCCTCCAAAACATGTGCTTCAACGGAAGAATCACGCTCCAAGAGTTCGACGTTGACCTTTTGCACCCATGGAATGACAATTTCTTGAGTTTTTCTAAGCCACCAATGGAACACGGTATTTCAATTATATCGGTTTCACTTGCGTGCAGCTCCTCCAAGGCTTCAATTTCATTCAACTTCTCTGGCAATCTAGCAAATTTTGAGCACCCAGTAATATCAACAAGTAAAAGACGTTTCAAATTGTGAATGCTTTGAGGAAGGCAAACAAGATTTTTGCAACCCCTTAATTTCAGAGTTTTAAGACCAGTCAACAAGCCAAGTGACTCAGGAAGTTTGACTAAATTTGTCTCCCCAGCATCAAGCGTTTCTAGATTTTTCATATTTTTCCCAAACTCTGGGAGAAATTTTACTCGAATGCACCCATAAAGAACAAATTCTTTCAGCGCAGTCATTTCCACTTTTTTTGGACAATAGGCTATAAGACTTTTGCAACCTTTCAAGTTCAACACTTGAAGCTTTTCGTGTTGTCCAATTGAAGCATGGAGGTCAACAAGTTTTTCACAACCTTCAAGGTCTAATCTTTCCAAATTTGGAAGTTTAGAGAAATCAGGAGTTTCAATCAAGTTTTTGGAAAAGCGCAAGTCCAAAAACTTCAAATTCTTTGAGCACTGGTCAAACAAATATATGAGAACCAATGAAAAGAATATATACTTTGCCAACTATGATAATCAATGACATTATCAATAACATCAAAGGATAAGATATCTTACCAGGCTAAGTCTCTTTAATTTGCTATGATGCATTCTAAGATCAACAAGTTCATGCAGTCGAGTTCCAGAAGGAAGAGTGTCTAAAGGATATTTTGTCCAATAAAGTACTTTCAAAGCATGAGAAAGACATTTGAGGCCAACAGGAACATGGAAATCACTTGATATCATGAGTAATCTGAGCTTACGCAATGTTGAAAATGCTTCACAATCCCAAAATGCCTTACAAGATGTGGATGAAATCACACCTTGTATTTCTGTTGTGCCTTGATAAACAACATTATTCAATGTTGAAAATGGTTTGGGATCCCAAAATGCCTCACAAGATGGGTACGAAATCATAGCTTCTATTTCTTCTGTACCCTGATAAACAACATTAGCCACAAGAAAAATGGTATCAAATTTACTATACAAGAAATTAATAAGATGTAAAATACATTAAAACCTAATAACATGTAAAATATATTAAAACCAATTAGAGATAAGATCGATACTCACCCAATTGTTTTGCATAAATTTATCAATATCTTCATTAGTCCACAATCTACTACGATTTCCAACATCATTAGAAGACTTATCCACAACAATTTTCCTACCCATTTGTTCCACCAAATTATGCATCACTAACTTATTGTCATAGTTCTTTAGCATAGACTTTTCTTGGAGAATTGCTATTCCAATTTTTGCATTAAAACCACAACTTTCCAATATTTGTGTTATTTTGTTTTTGCTCCAACCATTGAAGAAGCAAGCAATATCTAAAAATATTGCTTGTATTGTATTAGGTAATGCATCAAAACTTATTTTAAGTATTCCAAAAATATCTTTATCGGGATCATTCTTCAACATTCCCAAAGCATCTTTCCTCAACATATCCAAAGCATCTTCCCATTGCACAGTACTTCTTCCACAGAAAAAGGAGCCCAAAACAGAGAGAGCTAAAGGAAGGCCTCCTGCATAATCACAAACAATTTTAGATAGCTCCAACAGATCCTCCTGAGGCTCACTTCTTCCAAATGCTTTCTGACAAAAGAGTTGAAGGGCTTCACTTGGGTTCATAGTTTCAACCTCATGTTGATATGCTACATGCGCTCCACGCAACAAGTCTAAATGCCTAGTTGTTATGATCACTCTACTCCCAGCACCAAACCAGTTTGGGCTATTAGCCAAATTTTCTAGATGGCTTGTATGGCTAACATCATCAAGGATAAGTAAAACCTTTTTATTGCAACAACAGTTTTGGATTATTTTCCTCCCTTCATAGCTGTTTTCAATTTTCATCTTTTTGCTTTTGAGATTTGAAAGAAATACACTTTGTAACTGAACCTCGCCACCATCTCTTTTTGTAGCTGTCCTAACATTGTGAAGAAAGCAACTAATATCAAATTGGCTACGATATTTCTCAAAAATAGCCAAAGCAATTGTTGTCTTCCCAACACCCCCTAAGCCCCATATTCCTACAAACCGAACACCATACGAACCTATCTCCAACAATGGCTCCAGTTGTTTCACTTTATTGTCAATTCCAATGAGTCCTTCAGTATAAAGTGGCAGTCTAGGACGAAATTTGCTCCATAGCTCGTCAACCACTGTCTCAATAAGTTTTGCTTCAAACCTACAAGTTACAACAACATATGAATGGCCATGTGAAATATAACTTTTGATTTATTCTATAATTATACTACTTCCGGTCTTAATTATAAGACTTACAAACGAGGTCTTATAATTAAGATTGGAGGTAGTATAATATTTGTTACTCTAATGTCTGCAATTGTTAATATTCTTTTCCTTTTAGATTATCAACACATTGAAACAATTTCATGCAATTCTTGTTTTTTTTTTTGCTTCAACGAGCGCTTTAATTTAATTGTGATGTTAAAGCTTTTCAGTTCAAGGATAAAAAGTTGTGGATGTGAAAAAAAAATACAAATTAACAAAATACAAATTTAAAATTAGAACTTTTAACTTCAAATACAAAAAAAAAGAAGGAATAGTTACAAAATTTATAAGAATAAATGACGACATAACTAAAAAATAACCAGATACTATAAAGTTGATTCCATGATACTCAAATATAACTAATAGTATCAGTATCAAATAATTGTATTAAAAAAGTTTTACAATTCTTTTCGCTACAAAAGTTAGCAGTGAGAACTCATTTATTAAATAGTGGTAAATAGAAATGGAAAGAACAATTGAATAAACAATAAAAAGAATGATGACACTTCCAATACAAGGTATAATTGTGTATTACAACCCAAATGTTCATCTTAATAATTAATTTTTTTTGAATTTTTAAACTAAGAACACATACATGTCAACCAAATAGTTTGACGGCATCTAGATCAATATATGTTCCATAAAATGATTATATAAATATAAAATATTTTTTGCATAATTTTACCCGATAAGAAATTGACTCACTGATTCTTATTGCAATCCCAACCAGATAAGTCTGAAACCTCCTTGAGAGAATCTCTCCAACTTTTCATGACCTCATCGCCCCTTTGAAGCATCCCATGCCTAGCAAAAGCTTTGGCAAAACTTCCTCTTTGATGCCTTACATCAGATGGATTTACATCATAAAATATGGGGAAAACTTGTTGAGACAAATTGTTTCTTGAGTAAAGAATATGTTTAAGCTCATCTAAACACCATGAAGAAGAGGCATAGTTTTTCGAGATAACAACAATTGCAAACTGAGAATCCTCAATTGCTTGTTTGAGTTCTTTGGAAATGACCTCTCCTCTCTCAAGTTCTTCATCATCTATGAAAACCTTGAACCCACTCCTATCTAGTGCATGGTACAAGTGGCCAGTGAAGCCTTTACGAGTGTCTTCACCCCTAAAACTCAAGAAGATGTCATACTTCCAAGTTCTTTGGGTTGAATTGCAGTTGGAAGAATTTGAAGAAGATCCTCCTTGGTTGCTTGCCATAAATGTTCAAGCCAATAATTTGAAGAACCGGCAATATTACGACCTACAACACAACTAGACCATTTCATTTAACTAAAGGAAACAAATGAAATATGAGATGATCAGATTGCAAAAGGAAAAAAAAAATGGAAAACAAAAATAGTGGAAGCTGTAGATGTAAGATATACTGACCTGGGCTTACAGCTAGGGGTGAAGTGTCTAAACTCTAATTCTTAATATATACAAGCTTTCAAGTGTCTACCTTCCTGATGGTGTTATTAGATGGCTGAAACTAGAATTTTCTGGCAAGTTTCTCACGATTTCTCTCTGTTCCTTTCCTATCTTCCTCTTTTCTTCCTCTTTTCCTCTCTCTTTGTCTGCAATAAGGGAAGAGAGCTAAAGCCCTACTTATTGTGAAAGCTTGTTTGGAGAAAAGGCCGAAAGGGTCCATAGTCTTTCTTCCATGCTCCTTCCCTCACCACGACACGCTAGTGATCACTTTGACTTGCATAACCAGCTTTTTTTACCCCACAATATTTTCCCATGTTACAGCCAGTAATCCTCTGGTGTATGAAACATAGAAAAGAAGCAAAGCCCGCGATGTGCTTGATGATGTGTGCATGTGCATGTCAGTAATGTAGGAACGATGAGAAGCATTGGATGGGAAAATGCGTCCCTATTCTTCTCACACGACCTCGGTCAACCTGACGTTAGGCCTGAACTTTCCAATTCTTCTCTTGATATGGTCCGTACAACTTTGACTATCCTAAATTGTGTGCTTAAAAAATTAGGGAGAAAATGAAGGGTACAGATTCTCTGCATTTCCATTTCTCTAGTTTTTTATCTCAAAATTTCGTATTTACTCTTAGGTTAAGAAAAATAGATAGTTCAGGCTCCCCTCCCGATTAACTTTACTTGGCATTTTCAAAAGATAGGCAATTTTATGACTAAACTCTATTCCAAAAACACCAATGCTCCAAATAAGCGTAATATGCAGATGAAAAGCCCCCTCTATTGAATAAACCTTAGCTCCCTCCCTGTGCTTACAGGTGTAGCAACTTGTCTTTGAAAAAGTGAACGTGAATGGAAAGCAACGTGTGAAAATATGAGAGAGCTTCACCTTTAATGCGTGTTGCCTGGGATGTGTCCGTATCTTTTTTTATAATTAGTACCCTCAGTAAGTTGCACTGTTTAGACTTTTTAAAAATTTACAAAAAAACCTCCTTAAACTTTGCATAAAACTTTCACACTTTTACTTTTTATTATTTATTTACGGATGATTTAAAGTTTAATTAAAGAGTTAAAATATAATTAAGTCAGAATTTTAGGATATTATATGTACATAAAAATAAAATTAATGGTTTTAAGTTTTTATATGATTTTGCTCTTTACTTTCATGATGCTCGCGAAATTATCATAATAAAAATGGAATTCGTCACTTTTTGATCGGAGAAAAAGAGCAGAGTCCGTAATTTGCTTTATGATGTGGCCATGTGGGCATGCGCATGATAGGGGTAGGGGATGGGCTCACATGATGGTAGACGCCAAATTTGTCTTGTTCAAAACTCTTGCACCACACAAAAATAGTAAAAAATCTTATCTTCATAGATTTTTATAAAATTTGAAAAATTTTTTTTATTATATAACCTAATTAGGGTTTTGACAAATTCAATAACCTAAATAAAAATTTAAGTTATTTAAATATATTTTCAAAAGATTTTTCCTAAAAAAATTGAACATTTTTACTTAGTTATCTAATTCTTTCTGATACCACTACAATCCCTAGACCCAACAATCATATATGTGTGTGTGTGTAATAGTTACAATTTTTGGGATAGGGTCCTTTTTCTTTTTGTTAAGTTAACGTTTGTACTTATCTAAAAATTTAATTTTTTTTATTTTTATCCTTAATTAATTACATTCTCTCTCATCCTTTTATGCCTATTGGCTTGCATACTCACCCTGTCCATGAATAAGGTATTTTTTTTAAAAAGAAAATACATCTCTTACATTTTTATTGTCTTTAATTAGCCAATTTGAATTATTCATCCAAAAAAATTTTCCAATTTGAATTAATTTTTATTAATGTAATTTAATTGTTTATAACTTATTTATACATAGGACAGAGGGAGGATCATATTACTTGGACCATTATGTTATAGAAGAAGGCGCAAGTGTCTAGAGCTAGGTTATATTTTGTGTGCACTATCCATTTTTAGTTTTTAGGTGCAGTATAGATAATCTTATTGAAGACACTGTTGGATAATAAATATGACTACTTCTCTTAACGAGAATTTGAACCTTGACTCATAATATTGTGGAAGACTATTCCTTTCTGTTACGCTGCTAAGCCCAATCCTCTTGGTTACTAAATTGTCTCTGATACAAAGTATAGAATATTTCTTGCTCAAAGCATTAGGGTGTGCATGTTGTGCCTTTAAGAAAATTTGATATGAGTGGCCAAGCTTTTTCATGTGCTTACAAATGCTGCAGCTTTTCTTTGGAAAAAGGAAAAAAAAAGAATGTGAATGGGAAGAAAAAGTGTAAAATACTCCTCCGGTCCTTAATATAGGACCCAATTTTTGAGTTGGTTTTGGTCCTAAATATAAGACCCATTTCTCATATTTTTTAATTTTCTCTAAATTACCCCTATGGATACTCCCTCAACCATAATCAAGTAGAAGAGGGAGAGGGGGTATTAAGAAAGATGGTTATGGTGTTTTAGGAAAAATGTGTCACTTTTTTTATAATTAACTAATTTACCTAACTTCCTTAATATAATCAAATTAGTTAAATGGGTCTTATATTAAGGACCGGAGGAGTATGGGAGAGATTCTTCTTTAATGCGTGTTATTTGGGACGCGTCCTTATTCTTCTTTCATGTGCCTTCCAACACGACTTTGACTTGTAAAAATTTGAACCCCTTTATGTTTCGAACAACCACTAAAAATAAATATATAATTGGGAGTTGCAATTGATGAGTACGTACAGACAAAAATATGGAAAAGAAGCGTGAAAGGATCGAGGGAGAGGTCGGAGGAAATTGGGAGAAGGGCGAGGAAAAAGAATTGTGAAAGATTATATGAAATAGAAGCTAAAAATAACAACGGCTAATTTCAATAGAATGAGCAGAGGGCCCACTTTGCTCCTTCCATGCCCCTTCCCTCACCCACTCCTTCCCATAAATTATGCTGTCATTGACTGCCAAAGACTTGGAAAAATGAGTGTGAAACTGAGGAAATACTGCTTCCACGTAAGACTCATATTTCTCATGTGGAAATCTCCATGCTCCTTCTTGCATGACTTCGACGCGTCTCACCACAGTCAAGTCAAGCCTGGTTTAAAGTTTGTCCAAGTCTTTCTTCAATAAGCTGCAGTTTTTAATTTTGGTTCCTATGATTTTTCCTTCTGAATAAAGTTCTCCCCTTATCTTTAATATAATATCTATTTAATTAATTTAATTAGATTAAAAAAGTTAGATAAGTTAATTAATTATAAAAAATATGAAAGGTTTTTTCTAAAATACCATAATCATCTTCCTTAATATTCTCTTTTCCTCTTTACTTGATTATAGTTGAGGGAGTATCCATAGTGATAATTAAAAAAATTGATAAATATGATAAATAAGTCTTATATTTAGGACCAAAATCAACTCAACAATTAGGTCCTATATTAAGGATCGGAGGAGTAACTAATATTTCTCTAACTTACTTACAAATGTATGAGAGAGTGTGTATTTAGAAAGTTAGCTTAAATAATTTATTTAATAAAAATGATAAAAATCTTTTCAGAAGAAAAAAGAGACAGGCTGATGTTATAAAGTAAATAGTGGAGCTGTGAAGAACAGGGCATGAACAGAGGAGATGTTGAGTGTGGTGAGGGAGTGAGCTATAACCTGAAGGCTTCCAAACGGATGAAGAATTGGAATGTGAAAATATTGAAAAGGGTTGCCACCATCACTAATTCCAAAGAGAACTTAAAACCAAACAACACCATTGTTTTCTTTTTCCAAATCATGTTAGGAAAGAAGTGACATGTGACAAGCTTTTGACTAATCTCAGTTTTGGCCAACTTCAATTTGTCAAAATTCAATTTTGGCTACTTCAATCTACCTAAAAGCAATTTGCAGAATCAATTCTATCCCAACTTTAACTTTGACTAACGTAAAACCAAACATACTAGTTAATTATTGTTGAAGTAAGAGGCTCCAGGATAACACAAAGGCCACAAAGGTAATTGCCAATTAATTAACTATACAACCCTGAAATTCAGCATTAAGATGTATTGAAACATACTAGATTACATTTTATAACACGTTCCACAGTCTTCTGTCATGAACTAATTCCATTAATAATCTAATTTCTCGTCCTAACCAAGGTGATGATGATTCTGAAATTCAGAAAGTTATTTATAAAATGAAGCTATTATTGTTTTAAATGTGGCTCAGTTTTTAAAGTGGAAATTATAAAAGTTGGTTTAACCCAATTAAAATAACCAAAATTGATATTTCCCCGATAGGCTTGAAAATTGACCTGCATTGTTCATACGGTTATTAAAACTATACGATTATTTATAAATGATTTTTATTTTTTAAAATTTAATGCATAACTCTTTTTCGCTTCTTCTATATCAAAAAGATTTGAATATTTTTTATACAGTTATTTGCTATTCAACATTATTATGTCATTGAAAAGTCATGTCATGGGTTGAGGCTTATCAAATAAACTAAATTAACTATACACTCTAGCAATGCTACCTAGGTCCATCACTGTTGAAGAGTCAATAAGCCTCTAGCTAACTAAGTATTAATTAAAAGTTAACCAAAATTAATTACAGGTTAACCAAATTGGATGCAATGAAGTGAATTAACTATTTTAAACTAGGATAAGCTTTACTTTTTATGATTTTCCAAAATTAATTACAAGTTAACCAAATTTTTATGCCACCAAGCAGTCACTGACAACAAAACACACAGCTCAACTAAGCTCTAAAATTTTGGATTTTAAGGCCACATTTCGATC